TTGACTAATATCGAGAGCCCCATGGAAAATGTTGGAGCCATGTTTATCGAGAAATTGCTCCATTTAGTGGGAAATCTTTTTTCTTCTTTTTTAGGTGTTGGGCCTTGAGCCCAACACCTATTGTTATTGTAAGAATTTACTATTTTTGTTCTCCTCAGCAAATTCTCAGCAATTTCTTCTCCAGAACTGTTTTTCAAAATGAAAACATATATGCACTTCAATTGTCAATACATGAATTTACAACCAACTGAAGATGTGCTTTTTTGCAATTACGTCATCAGGACGTCATCATGGGTCACGTGACGTCACTTCAAAAATTAATAAATTTAATCTCTGAAATTCAATATAAAATCAACCGTGAGAGACCGGAACTTGAATTTTTCGGGAATTGACATGATAATATATGATCTTCATTTCATCTTGTGCGCGTCAAATCACGTGACCCTTCCTTCCGGTCGAAACCGGAAGTGCCTTATAATTTAAAAGTGGAAAAAGATGTGAACTTGCTTTCAACGATGTTAGTCTGTGGGTGGGTTGACCTTTCAAAAAATATGATCGGTGACGCCATGAAGTTTTCGAGCGCCCTCTAGCGGCAGGTTAAAAAACGTCAAAAACGCATTTTCACCTGATGTATGTGGATAGGTTTGCGGTAATCGCTTCAAAATTAATGTACATGATGACCTTAATGCAGACAAGACCTATGCGCGAAAAATTGATTACGTCATCGGATCCGAAGTTACAATAAAAAGACCTTGAAACCTTAAATAATTGCTAAAAAATCAACTGTGATAGATATAACCAAGATTTGGCTATATATAGCACAGTTGAAATAGCTCTTGAACTTTCTGGTAATAACGTCACAATGACGTGATCAAGTATCATATTACAAGCAATCAAAGATTTCTAGATTTAATCTTTGAAAATCAATATAAAATCAACTGCTACAGATTTAATTGTGTTTTTTTTATGGCAATCGATACAATATTGCAGGGTCTTCATTTTTGGTATTAAGTGCAAAATCACTTGACCCTTCCTTCCGGTCGAAACCGGAAGTGCCTTATTATTTGAAATTGGCAGAAGATGCGAACTTGCTTTCAACGATGTGAGTGTCTGCCTATAGGCAGTACTGTAAAAAAAAAAGTGACGTCATCAAATGTTAGAGCACCCTCTGGCGGCATGTTGAAAAATCAAACATGGATTTAAACATGCATATACATGTATTGAGTTGATGTGTGTGGCATGACGTGAACACTCCTCCGAGTAAGACCAACCCGACCAACTATGTAGGCAACTCGGGTAGGGAGACATCATTTTGGGGAGCCTGCCCTAGGGGATTAAGATATTTATAAGCACTTATGCTATAATTGGTTCCTAAAAGGAGCGAAGGTCACTCTGCCTGAGAGATTTCAAGCATAATATTTGGTTGCTAAATTTAATCTGTCGGCCAACAAATTGCATTATCATAATGACGTACCTAAAATGTTAACTTGTTTTATATGTTGAAATGTGAAAAATCGTGAATAAATGGCTGAGAACGATCTGTTACTGTTATGCTAGCATAAAACCGCAATTCACCAGATAGTATAGTTCCAGAAATCAGTGTGGCTAACAGGTGGTATTTCATTTAACCACAAGTCATTATCTCGCTGGGACTGTGGAGCAGGGAGGGGAGTTTGGTTTACTTAAGGGCTCCCCAGGGGCTTTCAACAGTGTGAAACTAGCCACTTTCTTAAGAGAGCCGGTTTCGTCATGCAAGGTTTGCGGTAATCCATGGCCCAACACCGTGTGGTTGTTCCTACAACCTCTAGTTGTTTTTTGTTTTTTTTTACAACGAAATAAGAAATCCTTGCCAAGCAAATAAACGTCATATCATTATTTACTGACATATACATCGAACATTGTCAAGGCTGATACATGTATCATTTATTTATTTCATGTGCATTTTTTTTGTTTTTCGATGATGGCTTGTTTACTTCCTTTTCTTTCTTTTTTTTGGCGTTTTAACTTGAAGACTGAGACAAGTTTGTAAATAAGGCCACATGAAATATGTCAGCTACTCACATTGCTAATAGTTTCTTGTTCTTTTGGATTAATATTTTTTGTGCAAGCGAAAAGCAATAGTGCTGAAAAGTGTGATACTTACGTTTAAGTAAGGTTATGACAATTCGATAGATTGACTTTACATCTCGCGGGGGTGGAGGGGGGGGGGTCTGATCTACTATAGCTACTTAATGTTAAAACTTGTTATACACTGGAATTACTGTGAAGCCTTTTGTTATACAACTCCAGTATTTTGGCCCTTGTTTATTCAAGCAACACAACATAAAAAGTATGTAGGCCTACCTGAAAATAAGTATCAATAAGGGCATTATGGTTACATATGTTTGGTTCCATAAAATTGACTGCATTTTCCCAACGAAAAGTTGCAGAGGTGGCCATGATATTACTTTTCTAAATTAGTGCATATAATTAATATTTAATAATAAACAATTTAATATTAAATAATATTTATCAAATTTGAGCTAAATAATAAGTCACAATAAGCCAACCTTAAATACTGAATATGTAAATTTTCTGTTGTTTAAAGAAACAAGTTGTGGCACAGTCCCAGCATACTGGAATTAAAATGAAATAAAAAAGTCAAATGTTCAAATAGAATACAATACATCATAACAAATAGCAAGACTGGCAGTATTGTTTTTATTGGATTTACAGAGGAGTTCAGCTGTATGCCAACTTAACCAACCTTACCTACTTCCAATATTAGACAAATTACAATACAATTTATTTTTTACATTAGTATAATAAAGAGAATAACATTTAACTTTCATTTCCACTATAAAAATAGAATAAAATAGGCAATTTATTGTACAGTGTCATCCACCAAAAAGCAGCACAAATGAATGTTAGTACATGTTTAAGAAACTGATGAGCAGTCCATTTTGCAAACTACCTTAATAAAGGCAAGAAAAATATCATTTATGAAGTTATATTAAAGAAATAATCCTTTTACAGTCCTTGTTCTCTCAAATTTTAGTTATTATTAAATCCAAAATAATTAATTGTAATATTGATAAGATCAACTAACAGCGAGACAAGCAGTATTGTCACTTCAACTTAATCTACTCTTGATTGCTGTAGGGTCTCTGATTCTTGAACATCTTCAGGGTAGCTCCAAACTGTAGCTTGTTGCTCAGCTACAAGAAGGTGTAAATACAAGAAAATAATGTAAGCATTTTCCATGGAATGCATCCCAACATGCAGCGGCGGCGATTTCGAAAAGGTTACCCCCATTTTTTTTCAGCCTGTAAAATAATTACAAAAGGTTAACCCACTTTTATTTCTTTCCATGAATTATTTTCATAAAGGTTACCCACAATTTTTGTGGCCCATTTATCACCCAGTTTTTTCACTGGTCAGGTGACCTGAATTCATAATAAATTTTGCTCAGGTCCATATATTATAATAACTCCGAGGTTGAACCTGCATTTTCAATTTTTGGAGGGATACAATTTGTTCCATGTCTTGTTTGATAGTTGGATGATGGCATTCATCAGAAAATCTAGGGAATGTGCTCCCTGAGTATTTTTTTTTTAGAGTTTCGGATGATCTAGGTGCCTTCTGATGCAATCTAGAACTAACAACGTACAAAGAAATAAGCCTCATTATTAGGGGGTGGGGGTGGGGGCATTGCCATAGGGGTCCCCTCAACACAAAATATTGGGGGAGGGATCGCTGCCCATGCCCATGCCAACATGGGGACCCGGGCTCGTGAAAATGTACCTAGTTTCACTTGCGGTTTGATTCAAGAGTGAATAACATAGGGTCCAATCTTGAGGAATACTCATGTTTCAATGTCTTTAATGTACTCTTGAGAGTTTTTAAAAAAAGTTTTGGAAGTTTGGCATCACAATTAAATGAAAACTGACACAAAAATGTAAACATACCAGGAACAAATCCTTCAGACTCATCATCTCAGGTGCAGTTATGTTGCTCTTGACATCCTTTTCAATAAAAACAACAAAATAGATTTGCTAGAGTACATGTTTTGCACATTTCAAGAATTTTGTTCAGGTGTCTTTGGCTGTTTCACAGTCTATTTTTAGATTTCATGCTTATTTTGCAGTGCATCATACAATTACAAATGTGTAGTATGATATCATTGTAGTGTGAAGCTTGACTGCGCAACACTGTGGCTAACAAGTGTTTGTTTTTTTCTTTCTGGTTAGAACGCTGACATGCAGGTCAGACATGCAGGTATGAAATAGGTGGTTTAAATGTGGAATACATATTTGTATAACTTGTGGCTAATAAAATTCGCAAGCATGACAAGTGATTGCAACTACAGCAATGAAATACATGTAACATTTTTGCATTATATATACATTTGTTCGCCGAATTAAAAAAAAACACTACTTGGAAAGACCTTCTTTCGTTTCTTCAAAATGAGAGCTGGCCAGACAGATTAAATTCACAGAGAGTTTAGTCCCCTTACTATCTTTCAACCAAGTATGTTTTTCAACAATAATTACGCCAGTTACTTTTTGGATAGCTGCAAATGATGGACTTTAGCTTTAATGCTCGTGACCTTATCAGTAGAAAATGCGATTGTCTTGCGCATTTTACAGTTGAACTCATGTGAATCAATGTGATTTGCGCATTCACGGCGGTACTATTTTGGTAAGTGGATTTTTTGTTCTGATATAGGAACAGGAACCGTAATCAACTACACAAACGCCCAAATTTGTTTGTCCATAACAAATTTATGAAACTGCAGTGTAGATACATTTTGTTGCCATAAACGGGTACTTCAAACTGTTTACGTTGATCATACACAGTAAGGTGGAGTTGCTTACTGTCTCCTGATACATCTTCTTAATTTATAGCTTCCTGGTGTTATTTGAACTATTATGAAGCGCTGGTTCATACCTGACAGTGATTTTCACACACTTTCACCTCTAGAGGGCACGTTATCTTTTGAGGTCATACCAGCAAACACGATGGACAAGACAACGGAAGGATTCACTGGAGCCAGTATCTCGGCGGAGGAGGACCCGAAATTGTAAGTTGTAGAAATTCATTTATAATAAATCTAAAATGTAGACAGTTTCGCCCGTCAACACTGCCCTAACAAAGTGCGTCATGCAGGCACGAGCGAATAGACGGCCTTTTCAGGCTGTTGTAGACCTTTAAATGATAATAAGTTTCCCATACATTTTCGTGTATCTGATTGGTTGTAACAATGCCACAATAACAATATACATTGTAAAGTGTATTTCCATGACTGTAATTTTCAATATGCATGACAGGTTTTCTCACTGTAGTGATCGGCTGTATTATTAGTCAGAGAGGGGAGATCCGTCCACCATATAAGGAAGATTGGAGGCTCACTGAACACGGCGATCATTGCACGGGACACTTCTCCTTGATTTGCTCTCAATTAATTGATGATTTATAACGGTGATATTTATTTTTTATTTTATATCTTCGGACAATAATTGAAACTCTTTTTAAAAACAAGTGGAATTGTCCTCAGGATGGTCTAGACACAAGTTTGTAAAAACTGTCATCAAAGATGTGTCAGACCAAGATAGCCCTGTCATATCCGTATGAGGGGAAGCTTACAATCACAAGTGAACATAAAAACACCAAAAACCTACAAAGTTACAGAACAATACGATTTTGAGTTCTCTGCAGCATGTACATGTCATACTTGAATGTCTCAAATTTATACAGCAGAAAGAAAGACTTTTAGTACGAGTTTATAACAAACATATGAATTAACTTCTAGTTTAGTCGTACCCTGACGTCTTAAAGTTGGTTCAAAACTTTAAAAAACGTCAGATAACTACGTCATTCAACTTGGAGCCATCACAGCAAACAGGTCTTGCTTCCGAGCTGCAAGAGTCAAGCGTGGGAACTGTCTCTGAAAACGCGCAAGACTTATGCCAGTGCAATCCTTACAATAATTCCCGGAAACTCAGTCTGTCTGTCTGTCCGTCGATTATCTCCAGAACCGGACACCGTATGAAGTTGAAAATCGGCTGGTGTATTGCTCGGGGCCACAGAATGTGCAGTGCTAAGTTTGAAGTGGTTTGGATGAGCGGTTCTCGAAAAAGCTGCAAAAAAAGCAGTATTTTCGGAGGCAAACGTGGCAGCTTAGAACATAACACCACGCACTGCCGTTCTTTTCAGTTGTTTACGTCATGTTTAAGCTTAAGCGCGTGCTCAATATGACGCAAACAATGCAAAAAGGACGGGCACGCGCACGTGCATTATAGGGCGATACCATTGTCCACTATGGGTGAATAGCGCATACCATGTTTTCGTATGTACACGGACACGTTATTTTTGTAGTCGACTAAGCGACCATTGTAGATGGTCGAACTTCAAACTTGATACAAACTTTGACGTAAGTGTGCGTTGTTTGCAAGAGCAGTTCTCAAAAACTCTGCAAGTATGCAACCTATACCAACGGCAAAGCAATTTGCGTTTCCCGAACATGCACATTTTAGACGGGCACTGCACTAGTGTATACAATTATATAACCGTACATGCAGATCCTTGTCATTTGATTGGTGGAACTCACATCACGTGACATTCGTTATTGCTCTCATTCACGCCGCTGCTCAAAAAGTACTATCCGCCCATGGGGAATGGGAAATACTACTCAACAGTTAGGATCATGACGCGGTATTTGTGTGCAAATACCATAGATATAGAACTTAAAATAACTAGATCGGACGCGCGTTCGAACGTGCCATTTACTGTGCACAAAACTTCTGGGTTCTTCATGGACGCGCTGCAAAGTCACGTGAATAGGGCCACGCGCAAAGGAGAGCTGGTGAATGCTGGACGGAAAAATATCGCCAACACTCCCACCTGAATTCAGCTATGCGTTTAAGTTATTAACAACAGGTTGACATTTTTAACTACGATTTTTGACAATGTGACATTTCATATTCCTTTGAAAAGTTACACATGAGTTTGCCTCTGTGTCTTTATTTGGGGCCAAATTGGCGACTGTGTTGAAGGTAATTGATTTTCAGCCAAGAATTCTAATTTGTACCGAAAAGTAGCCACATTGTGTTCTTATATCTTTAACAAAGGCAAATGTCAAAAGCGTAGTTAAATGTCAACCTGTTTCATGAGATTTTCCCCTCTTTTTTTTAAAATGTGCAATAAAAATCAACCGTCACTTGCCTATCAGACAAAACATAAACGTTTAATTTTACCAACATCAAAATGAAATAACAGAAAATCATTTTGTAAATGAGCAACGATAAAAACGGGCACTCGAAATATTGCGTTGCTTTAATAATAATAATAGCTTTATTTACAGATGATAGCCTGACAGATGATTTTCAATGGGCCATCAATTAATACTGCTAACCTCAATAGGAACATTACATTTGAAATGAATGGATGACTATAAAAACAAGTCTCTGGCCATCTGTTGTGAGTACTGAACAAACTAATAACTTTTAGGTAATGAACAATTTATATACAATGAAAACTTACTCGTTAGCTAATAAATAATCCGATGAAATGGCAGTTCCATATCCATATCATTCATTAATCAAGATGTCAATAATATCATTGCTCATGAAAAAAATACATTTGGTTGTCACCATCCGAATATTTATGTGAAGGTCTAGCCTATGCAAATACATGTACCAGCAGGTGAGTATTGCTTCCCATAAATTTATGAACCAGAATAAGTAATCCAATATATCTTCCTCATATGCATGAACGCAAACAGAGGGCTATTCAATCTTTCAATTTCTGAGGAGCAACAATAAGACGATAACGAAATACTAAGCGAAACTTGTTAAATTTTAGCTATGGTCCACGCACGAGGCCCAGTTATGCATGCGTGGCCAGCTATCTCCTCACTGTACGCACAGTCGGCAGTGCAATCTTTCTGACGAAGACGTACGCTTTTGTCGAGCAGTGCAAACTTCTTCATCTGTTCACTATGATTGTGATTCGTTGAGCAAGGCGCAGTTTTCCCAGCTCCAGCAAAGTGACTTACAATTGCAGAATAGGAAACTGTGTTTCCATCTGGTCGGCCATCACTGGAGTATTAAACAAGTTGCTACTCTTACAGGCCTTTTACCACCTCTCTGACGGATAAGATCTTTTTCAACATGATCGTCGATTTTCCTGCCGGAGTTGTCTGTTTTCCTGTTCAAGCTTGGATTATATAGCCTTCCTGCTACTTCCGAGGGTAGATCCATTTCTGGTGGTAGACTGTATGCATGCTCTATCGCTGATGTTTGTTTTGCCGGTACAGCCATGCACTGAAGCAATATCTTCGACGGGGGCTTGGGTCGGTTCTTTCCTTGCCGTTGGCAGCTTTTCTCTCTCGTGCTGAAGTCCATACACGAGACTGTAGTCTTTCTACGAAATAAAACAAATAATAATAATAAACAAATAATAATAATAAATAGTAATACTGACAGGCTTCAAATGAGTCGGGAACCCCCCGCGGAGTCGGACTATTATTGAAAAGCAGGAGAGGGGAGGGTGATGTTAGGCCAGAAATAATTGTTATTCGATGTTCAGGATCAGGAGTACCATCTTAACTTTTAAAACAATAATATTTTAAGTAGGCCCTGCGCGGTTATTACAAATTCGGAGGATCCTTTGGAACACACATGGGGATTTTTCTCCACACCCATTCCTGTGATTTATGCCCATTTGGCAGTGCGTATTCCGTAACCTATATTGAGTTAATTTTTATAAAAGCTGTCTTGTTCGAAATGTACTCTCAAGAGATAAATTCTGTGTATTAAGTTACTCACACATGATGTTAACTTCTTGAGAGACAGTCCTCCGGGTTCCTTTCTCCGTCTTAGTTGAACTTTTCTGCCGCACAGATTGCCACCATTTTCAAGCAGTGATGGAGTACAGTACAAGTGATCGTCATGCCGAAGAAATGTGCGTTTAAATTTTTGACCCTATTCACGTGACCAATGGCAGCGTCCTGTCAAAACGCGCGTATCATACGCGCGTCCGATCTAGTTTTTTAAGTTCTATATCTATGGCAAATACATGCTGGTGTGCGCGTTCAGCGTTGCGCGTAGCGCGTATTGTTCCAAAGATGATAGTGTCGTCGAGAAAATGCTTTGTAAGTCAGCACGTGTGAGTCAAAATGTCTTATGCAAATGAAGTTCAAAGGTTACTTGGAAATTCCCAGATCCCCACATTACTTTGAAAAATGTGCAAGCAAGTCTCTTTTCTCCATTTTTCTCGATGATTTTTGGTCGAATGTCATAGGCCAAGAAAAGTGGTAATAGTCGTGATTTTCTTTTTCTTTTGCTTACACTAGGCCGCCTTCGGGAGCCGGACCTCACAATCAAACCGGGCGTTTTCGCACCTCCAAAGGAGAAGGCCTGTTTGTGGACTCGAAAAAGGCTTTCACAGAAGAAGGGTTTCAAGAAGAAGGGTTTCTGTTCGATCCGGCCAACTATTCCGAGGGTGAACACGACGAAATGCTGAAGGAGTTTTTCGAAACGAGTGCACCTTCGACAGCGAAACGGTAAGTGGATTGGAATAAGAGCTCTATATTTGTGTCACTTTCGGATTTCTGGGGATTAAGTCGCTCTGAGCATTATTGTGTAATGGCCTGCTCAACATTGAGCGGGTGAAAATTTTGTCAAACTTTGATTTTCATTGTTGTTATGAATGACATCTCTGATACCTACGGTTTCAGGTTTCATTCACAAAAATGTTGTTTTTGGTAAAAAATAAAAAAAAAAAAAGTGGGAAAAACAACCATTTTGTGTGCATCGTTCTGTTGTTCTACAACAAAGTCAGCTGTTTCAAAGCCAGTCTTCTCAGTTGTGTATTTTGAACTCCAAGGAAGTAATTAATATGCAAATACGTCATATCTCTAAAACGAGAGGGGCTATGGAGCTCAGTTATTTACCAAATGAAGCTTAGATTGTGGTCTTTCCAACCATGTATATTACTCAATTTTACTTATCTTGCTTGCGACATAATACCCTTTTTTGTGGAGCCGGTCACAAATGATAATGTTGATGAACCGACTATTATCGCTGAAAGATCTAGAGTGACTGTTAACCTCATTAAACACCTAACATTTAACCTGTTAAACATTACATATTTCGACCACGTGACGCCCACAACATGGGCAAGAACGTTCATATTTCAATAGTTGACAAAAGTATAGACCTGTTTTGCTTTAGACACTCACGGTTCCAGACATTGCTTTTTAATACACTTCCAAATGGCGAAGCTACGTACAGAGTTGTGTATTCTTTTATATTTTCATTTAAAATGGTGGTTCCAATTCTTGTCATTATTTTTGGAAACGCGTTGTTGAGGCCCAAAACGGCGCATTCCAGACCTAATTATCTTTAAAAGGGAAATATGCCAGGTCTTATATATTGAATATTTTTCTATAAATGTATTGTAATTTGTTTCTGAATTTAGATCTGATGGCATTCGTTGGATTCGAGTAATTTCGGCCTCCTACAAAGAGGAGGGATTAACAAATGAGGAAGAACTTACAACCGACTGGAAGAAGCTCAAGAACTCAGGGAAAATGATCGACTTTGATGCTATCAAACAACTGGCTATCCGTCATAGGTAAAAACGGAGTTGCTGCTTGAATAGGGGAGAGGGCCCATGTGTCATATTATCATGCATGACTGAGCATGGTTGCTTTTTAATAGTCCTCTCATGCGCAATTTGATTCATCTTAAACTTTAATGTCACCTCAAAATGGGGCAAGGCGCAATTAGGCAGGGGAAAATGACTATGCATTAACTTGTACTTTTATGATTTGTACGGCATGTTACATGTGCAAATAAAAATCAATTGTGTATTTTGGAGCTGTTTGCATTGAAAGAAGCCACATTTATCCTCTTTTTTCGGCTTAAGATGTCTTGTTTTCGATTAACATCACCGAAGCGGACTCTTATTTTTAATAAACATGAACAATCTTATTCTTGTGTTCAAGGTACTTAGGTGGCAATTGGTTTTCCTTTTTTGACACCGGAGAGGAGATCGACAATGCGTGGGAGAAAATCGCCAAGGCTACAGTCAGAGACGAGCTTGGAACACACGCTAAGGTGACACCGTGCGAAGACACCAAGGAAGCGAAAGCTCGCAAGAGGCATGTGATTAGCGTGTACACTAAAGATTTCACCGACAAAGATGACGTGATGAAAGTAGAAGCTAAACTGCGCAAGTTGGGCTTCAGAAAGCCAATCGACTTCAAGCCTCGAGTTTACGCCACCCTGGGCATTTACTCAAAGAACCAGTGGGGGCTGAGTCCGAGCATCTACGTATCAAACTGGGATCCCAAGAAGGTCGCCGTGAATATACAAGATCGCACCTAATCTCGCGTGACCTACATGATCAACGACAAGAGTAGCGCATGAGTTTTCGCAATTCACTTTTCGGTTCACTTTTCCTCTTAGCAGTTTTCTTTTTACAGTTAAATGTCTTTGTTTCTACCCGAGTTGTTGGCGTGAACTCATTGTGTTTGAATAAGAAACAAATCCTTGATGGAGAAACAAGTTTTGCAGATAACAACTGTTTAACGAGCACACGTATCCCCCTCATAGCTCATTGCTTGCTGTGAATAGGGAAGTTGTTAAGATAGATTGCAAAGTTGTATCAAAATACATACTTTTCATGCATGGTAAGGTTTTAGATTAATGAATTGGTATTCAAGTTATAGTGTCATCCGACTGAGGCACTTGTGGAGCTAAGCTTACATGGATAATGTATAGGATCGAGATCCTTTATAATGTTTAGGATATAATGACATTAGATTCGATACGATTATACTTCACTTCACACGATAACATCACAATTCCTTACATTATCAAACAATTATTATGACGTTTTAAAAGTCCCAGCAACTTGTTTCTGGGATTTCTTTCCGACACTGTATAAAACGCATGAACCGCTACTTCCTTGGTAGACGCTTAATCTTATACCGAAAAGCATGTTTTTTAGTATTTGAAGCTTTTCCCCTAAACCGCCGGCCCTCTAAGCTGCACCTACATCATGAGCAATTAAGCTGATAAAACAGCAGCAAAGTTAGGACTTACCTAGTCATTGAAGAACCCGTGTAATTTGGTTTAATGCAGTCCCTGAAAATGCACCTTTGTGTCCCATTTAACCTTTGTCATGGGAAATTAACTAATAGTAATTATCAAATAATATTGATTTTGTTGAAGGATAAGTTTACTCTCTTTTAATCTGTCTACACAGTAACATTGTCAAGTTGTATGACATGGATCTGGTGACCTTTCTAAAATTAACTTGCTTATACTGCAGTTTTGGGGTTTATGCAACATGCTCCAAGGTTGCAGTATTACTGTAACTTTGTTTTATATTTTTTTTATGTAACCCATGCAAACAGCAATTGTATTTAAAAGTCTTTGTTTTAGATCGTATATAAACTCTTACATCAGATTTATACAATTATAACACAAATTACACTGCTCTATAAGTTAGCTACGAACTTAGTCTAAGGACCGATTTGAGACCCTTGGCAGGAAGGACTGACTCAAGACAGCAGATTCTTCAATTTCTGCAGGCAATGATTGCAAGACGGTTTCTGCCGATGGACCGAGGCATGGAGACATGATCAACTATCGAACTCGAAACTCAGCTTACATTTCTATAGCTGAAGTTCTTCAAATCTTGGCACGCCCACAGCCAAGAGATCATCTTTGCACAACGTCAATGCCATCGCCTCTCCCAAGACAAGCAGTCCAAGACTTCCGATCAGCTACCAAATCAAGCGTTGCAACGAGACAGCATCGGTTCCGAGGAGTCGTAGTTACCCACAAGAAAGCAAGCACGCAAGCAAGCAAGCAAGCAAGCAAGCAAACAAGCAAGCAAGCAAGCAAACAGGGGAGCAAGCGAGCAAGCAAGCAGGCAGGCAAACAAGCAAGCAAGCAGGCAAGCAAGCAAGCACTCAAATGAACACTCTAATGCCGGCTATTTGTCTCGATGAAAATGGTACCACAATGTTTTGTAACCCAATATACAATTACTGAAAATAATGTAGTTAAGAAAGTTTGAAGAATATAACCTCATAATAGCAAAATACCTTTCTGTTGTTATGAACATGTAATGATTATTAAATGTTGTTGATTGGCAGGCGCGCAGCCATTAAGGATTTATGCGTAACACTTTTTTATTTTTGTTTTGCCATTTTCAAGGGTATTTTGGTGCCTTTTTGTTTTTATGCTAATGCGAATTTTCGTATTCGTGAGCAAAAGTGAGATGTCATTTCAGGCAGAAACCACATTTGTTTCAGCACCGAAAGTTGCCAGAATTTTGAATACTTTGCTGTCTTGAATCTTCTGTGGTGATTCGTAGTTGTGTCAGTACACGGCAGTAAGCAAATGGGCAAACTTTGTTCACCGATGTTTTTAATCAGCTACTGTTGGGTTCACAATTTGAACACAATGTCGTCCTTTAACTACATCACAGCAGCAGCGCCCTCAGTTGTCCAGAAAAGCATGGAAGCTTTTTTTTTTTATTTTTTTTTATTTTTTAAGAAAATCATTTTTCAACAACATAAACCATAAGGGATGTCAAATAGTTTTCATGCATTTAAGAGGAGTATGTTCCAGAGAAAAAAAATCATGGACCCTTATCCAGCGCCATATCCAGCTGCATAATGAAACAGCCGTCTGTGTGACTTTCTGGATGTTATTTGTGTCGGGATGCAGTTCTTGATAAATCGCCTGACGTGAAAGAGAAACATCGTGCCAAAAATGGAACCCTCACTTCCGAAAATCTAATATAGGCCCTATGTGGACTAGTGGAACTCGGTGTTCGCGTACAAAGATGAAAAATTATGAACTAATTTTGTGGCGGTCATTGGGTGAAAACTGGAACTGAAATAGGAGACTAAAATATTTTTCAGGATAAATATATATTTTTTGTATAAACTTGAAGGACTCATTAACATTTGCGAACAAAAATCTAATATGACCTCTGATGAGGACTGTATTACTTCAAGCCTTCCTGACCAAATGAAGAACCCATTGGCTGTAGGTAGGTCAATCTTTACATCGTTATACAAATTCTTTCTCAAGCAAGTAAACAAACTTGAACGAATAAGAAGACCTAGGTACGAAAATGCCGGATGTGAAAGGTCGTAAGTAAAATTCGTTTTTACCCATCTCCATATGATTTCTCATCTTTTTTTTTTTTTTGGAGGAAAAATAAGATAAATTCCAACCTGAATTGTTCTAGGGGTGATTGCAGTTAGAAATCATTCTGTCCAAAAAAATTGACAAGAAAAAGGGCAACCCAGTGTAAAATACCCTGGTCAAAAAGTGTGGGGCCATACATCCCCCCCACGGATTTACGCCACTGATTTCACTTACCACCCAAATAGCAGAAATGGTTAGGCAAAATCGTAGAAAAAAGCTACCCCCCCCCCCCCCAAACAAAATTACAACAAAACAAAATCACAACTGTGTTTAAAAGTGTTAACGCCTTAGCGTTGACTATTGAGTTCTACTCTCTAGTATAAGATCAGATAAATTCAAAGAGCCTTTTTCACATTGACGTTTACAATCATAAAATGCATTTCGTACTGAAGGGGTATTGCTATTGAACGTTTTCGTGAGAAAAGGGGCAAGCCAAGAAGACGATCATACGAAACGTTGGGCATTCCTCGCACCAACCGTCTCTCTGTTGCAACACAGGAACATCCACGATTCTGAGTATGGTTTTTCTGGGCCTCCGTAAGTGCAATATGGCGTGACTCATGCTTTATTTATAGCAAGGGAGATTCCCACAGGCGTGCAATGCCATCTAGACAATGATGTCATGTTATGTTGCGCAGTTTTGACTGGCCCACGTTATCGGATCATTTTATGCTTGCAGCCGGGAGTGATTGTCTTATCGGCTAAAGGTAAGTGTTGAACTTGAAGTACATGTATTTATAAGCAGACATATGAGTGTGTATTAGATTTTCTCTGATCGCCTGCAGTGGTGTTTCAGCCGCATTTCACATAAGAAATGAATACAAATTTGATCAAAAATGAAATCAGAATGAGCCATTTTAGTTTCGGTTCACTTGTTAATTTTCCACAACATATCATGTTCGTTTAATGTGAGTGGGTGCAGCTCTACTTAAAATGCTGTTTGCAAGATAATTCTGAGCATATCTATCTTTGCCTTCGTTCATTTTTATAGCATTTAAATTTAAATAGGCCTAGCTACTGCTAACTGAAGCATCTATAAATTTTACATGCAAAATAATAGATGCCGATGACCTGCGAACGTTTGCATAATGAGCTCAGTGAAGGCCGGGATTAAGTGTTTCGTAGGCCCAAGGCACCAGTGTTCCGAAGAATGGAGAAGGAAGGGGAAAGGAAGAGGGAATAAGAACAAAGTGGAGAATGTAAATAATAAACACCGCTGCTCAAAATCCGCGAAGCTAAAATCCGGTACTGAAACTCATGTCAAAAGATTGTACATTCTGTCATGTCGGCACAAGCTGCCGCGCGAAGTCGCTTCATATACGGGAGTTGACAGCTACAGCTGTGCATATAAATATAACGATTTTAAAACTGAGGGCATCACCAAAAAGTGGCATTTGCTCAGAAAAAAAGGCACCTTCCGTCGGTGTGAACGAGGAGAAAATTGTGAAACTATTTTTGTTCACTTTGCAAGGAATACATGTTACCCAGAGCAAAATTTACTACCAACATTGATATACACTTTTGAAAATGTTTGCATTAAATTTTAAAGGCGTAATGAGCACTATTATTTCTTTACATGCCAGTTTTCCATTTTGAGAGGGGCACAATTATTTTATTGCGAGAGGGGTCATTCGTGTTTTCGAGGGATAGTTTTCCATCTCGAGAAAGTTCACAATTTTGTTAATGCGCGAGGGGTATTTGTGTTTTTGAGGGGAACTTTTGCATTACAAGAGAGGTGATCATTTTTAAACCCGATCATTAGGCTTTCATGTGCGATTGAGGGCAGTTATATTTTCATCTCGAGGGGGCACATTATTTTGTGACCTTCTGTGGCAAAATGAGGAATGTCCCCCAAAACCGTGTTATGAGTTATCAACGCCTGAAGTTGGATACACTAGGAAAATCATGTAATAAGAACCGGAAATGTCCCTGTCTAAAAAAAACCACACATAATAAAAATCTGTGGCTATAGATTAGGCCTATTGGGAGTGGGGGTACAAGGACGGATCCTGAACACACTTTTGTGGGGGGGGGGGGGGCTGTACAAATCGAGCCAGGTAAAACTGGTATAGGTCCTAGCTCTAACAGCCTGTTAGCACCAATTCTCGAAGGCGTCATTTGCTTCTCAAAGTGTGGTACATAGGCCTACATGTGTATCTTGATCAGTACTAATTGTGCGAGTGCAAAGCCTAAACATCGCGGGGTTCGGGACCCGCTTAAGGTCCCCTGTAAAAATTGGATTGTAGGCGCCCTGTGGTGCGATCTGAGGCAATTTCTGACGACTGCCAAAGTTTTAGCACAAGATTATAATTTAAACATCTTTTTCGAGTTTGGAGTCATAAAATCAGCTGTTCTAAGCTATAGAATCAAATGTAGGCTACATATTTTTATTAAGGGACGAAAATCGTTGGAGAACGACATCAGCCCCCCCCCCCCCCTGTTCCCCACCGATTGACGCCCATGGTTGGCACCGTGCTTCAGAACGACAGACTTTACACGTACATTTTATACGCAGGGCCTATGCATACACATGCTGTACAGAGTCAGTTGGTGAAATAGAAAATTCTGAGAGAGACCTTAAAACTTGTTTAACAACTTTTCTCTGCGCGTGTAGAGGTGCACTGAACTAATTCAAGTGAGAATTTCTACGCAAGTCATTAGCATAAAATGTGCCCCCCACAATTTCTTTTGAAAACGGAGACCGTTTGGCTTTAAAAACGGTGGAATTGTGTAAATATACCCAAGGATCAACTCCCTGGTTTGTGGGCTTCCATCTGAGGGCAGGCTTGATAAAATCACGGATGAAAACTGGGTTTTATTTGCCTGTGAAAGTGGAAGGATGCCACGTGTAAAATGGCTACATGCAGGCTTGGGAACTATCACGTTTCGAGAGGTGATTTTATTTGGGTGTGAATATTTAAAAATGTAATTGGCTAATGTACCTACAATTGAAAAGAAATGAAAAGATGAAAGACAAGACAATAATTATTTTTTTGTTTGAGAAACCCCAGGGATGTTGGCTTGCATGTTATTTGGCCCTGAACTTTGTTGAATTTACACTGTTTTCAATGGGGCTTGAATTAGTACAGTGGACCCGTAGGTGTGTGTGGGTATGATGTGTTTTATGGCACACTGCGGTATTTTCGTAGGCCCTCCCCCAAGTTTTCGTAGGCCCCCAATTTTTTCGTAGGCCCTAGGCACAGTGCCTACTGTGCCTATTAGGTAATCCGGGCCTGGTTCAGTATAATTAGTGGACATCAACAGCTAGTTGCGTACCAAGACCAAATTACCGACCCGAATGGCCCTATAACTAATCGCTGAGGACCGTAAAGAAATCATTCCGCTTATCCACTTAGTCATTCTACTTAATCATTCGACTTATAGGCGACACTTGATAATTTGAAAAGTTCACCACACAGCTGTCATCACTGGACTTTTAAGTTGGCAACAGCCTCCGTAAAGTTGACAACAGTCTTTAGTTTTACACACACAAAAAACATTCAATGTGGCACCGCTTTAATTACAAGTGACAGTCTCTCAGTCAGTCAAGCAGTCATCTTGTCGGTCAGATATGAACAAAATGGACTGGCAAAAATGGCACGTGGGGCATTTTCTTGAAAGGTTCGTTAGTGGTTTCTATAAAACATCCATCGTCGATTACTTCCTGGTCTGCAGGCCCTTAAAAGTTGTTGTGTGCGGCCCTTAAGTCATGACTATACATTGTATCTCTACCAATTCCTCTGAATTCAGCTTCTGAGGTTGTCTGGTTTTACGTACCGAGATGAGCAGTGAGCAGAGATACTCCTCCTCGTCAGATGACGATGATGAAGTCGTTGGATCCCTGACTTCCAGATTCTCCAGTCTGAGCATGTGAGTGTCATAAGAGTTTAGATTTTATTGTCATTTTTTTTTTCAGGACAAAAGACAGCAATGGAAAAAAATGGGCAAATGTTATTCTACGTGAAATAATCAGGATTTTGTGCAGCGACAGTTTAAACACCGGCCGGGACGCTACCCCCCCCCCCCCACGACATCCGCATTTGGTGTACGCTATGGCATTTTGGACTTGACTTCTCTAAAAACGTGAGAAGAAAATATGCGAACAAGTCTTGGATCCGCCCCTACAATGGCATTATATGCTGATCGGCAACCTGTAAACTTTCAAAATGGACGTGGCCATGCATGCCGCGACAGTGGTTTTTCAATTGGCTTGTGGTGTTTTTTTTTGGGGGGGGGGGGACACGAGCATTTTAAAGGGTTCCAATGGCAGATTCAGAATACATTTTCTGAAATATTCAGGGGCCCTATACAGGCCATCAGCTGATTGTAGTAACTTAAAAAAAAAATAAGGGGAGAGGGAGGAGCTGGAACTCCATAAACGCCTTGGGGGCGCTCCAACGTCAATGCATAGCCGGGCACGGCGCATATACAAGCTGCCCATGTTCACGCCTGACACTGAACTTAGAGAATTTCTTCCCTTCCACTTACTTTTTTTTGGGATGAAATGTGATTTTTGGATCCTACTCTTGCCGTGGAAGTGGTTTGGGGAAAATGCTAAATTTCAGGTATATTAAAGGATGCGGACGAGTAAATGGGCCACAACGAGGGCCAAATCACGATTTGTATGCCCCCATATTTTGCTACAAGAGCATTTTGTGGGCCATGAACTTGAGGGTTTGTATAAATGGAAACCATGATCAGGACTACGACGTTGCATTTCTGTGAAATTTGGATGAAATTAGGCCCCAAATTTACTCTAATTTGCTACTTTTAGGGGTGATCATCTTTGGATCGAATTTTCTTCCAAAAATTATTGGATTCCACCTCGACAATAGAAAAGAAAATGAAAGATGATGAAATAAGCTTTAATTTGATGCGTGAAACACCTTGGAGGGTTGAGAGTACATTGTATTTGTTTTTCTGATCTTGAAAAGGGGGGGTATTATTACTAAGGTCTATATGGCAGTTTACTTGTTGTTCTGCAATCTTATGTCTTAGACCGCCTTCAAATGGCGCCTCTAGTCGGCCTAACCTCGACTCAAGAGGGCGGTGCGACCCCGAACTCTCAGACCGCCTGCGCAAAGACGCCTGGAAGGCCAGTGCGGAAGATGGCCTACTATTCGATTCTCGCGACTATCCCGAAGAGGATCGCTCTAAACTTCTGGAATCGTTTTTCGAGACCAGTGCGCCATCGAAGGTGAAACGGTGAGGCAATCCGAATTTGTAATTTTAATGGCAGTTGGGTTGTTTTAGTCGTTATTGAGATTGACCAATGCCACAAGGTCGATGGTCACTGAAGGCGGCGATCCAAACTTGCAAACAGAGAAAAAGACGTTTGAACATTTCTACAGTTAATCGGTGTTAAGAAAGACACTTGAGGATATATGGGCGTTTGAACATGGAGTTTTGGGCCATCGTAAGTTAATAACATGGGTCCACTGCTGCAAGAGGGTCGTACCTCCTCTGGATGTTACCCCCATTTGTACCTTATTACAATAGATTCTTTAACAATTACAATGGTTGTTATATCTACAAGTATATATTACAGATGGAAATAAAATATACAAACAAACAAACATTTGTTTTAATTATAGAGAGGTTCCCCTGAGAGGATCGTTTCCACATTCATTTCACAAACATTATGTGTCCCTTAAAATCTTTAGTATAATTCACGACACTTGACGTTGCTTTTACATGTAGAAAGCTCCAGCCTGATTAGCGACCCAAAACGAAGTCATCTCTGTGGAAACTGGAAAAGTTGTTGACAGAGCAGCTTTTTGTTTGAAAGTTGAGACATTATGTATTATAAATGGGAATTATTGTACTTACTGTTGTGGCGATTAATCTTTTCGCATCTAAGGCTGCTTTCGAGCATAAGGGACAAAACTTATATTGTGGTTGACTGTTAAATGTGGCAGGTCAGATCTTTTAAAATTAGGGTGATATAAACAGGCTGGTCAAACGGGAATTTTTTAGTTGCCACGCTATTTCGAACGTCTTCCGTTATAAAATATCTGCTGTATTATTTAATATCAAAGTATCAGATTAAATTTTCTACCTGAACAATTGATGAGTCATGATTATGACAAAGAAATGACTTCTTTCAGGTCTGAGGGTATAGGCTGGATCCGAATCCTATCCCCGAGCTTTGAAGATAAGGAAGTGGATCAGGAGGGGCTGGACTCAGACTGGGAAAAGCTCCAGAAATCTGGGAAACCCATCAACTTCGATGCAGTCACAAAACTTGCAAAATCGTACAGGTCAGTAAATCAGATGTAGGTTTTACCGGCTATTTTAAGATATTTGTTTGCTTAAACTCACCAACTCTATCACTTAATTTCGTCCACGAAATATTTCACAGAATTTTAACAAAAGCAATTTAGTCATTTACCATTCAATTATAAAGTTTGATCATCCTCTTTAGTCACCGGGTTGATAATATTCGTCATTACAGATCAAGTGCGTCTATTAAGCTGTTGCCGCATGACAGCATTCACAGATCAAATTCGTCTTACATAAATCAAATGGACGAATTGGATTTCTGGATAACACGATTCGGGGTAGTCAAGACGAAATCGAATACTCCGGGTCAAAAAAGTGTGCTCATTGTTTGAATTTGTTTTGACTAAGTTTGAAATTATCTGACAAAAGACGAAATTAAACATTGGAAGTACACTATTAAAATCGATATTGCTGGGCGAATTTGAATATAAGAATCGGTGAACTCGAACGAAAAGTGTTTAAATATAGCCGGGAAAACCTATATTAATAGTCACTTAGCCGAATTTGTTGAAACTTAGGATCTTATTAATTAAATATTTGGGCTTTTTCGCCGCATCTGAAATATGTGAAAATTTGAATTCTCATTAAGAATATTGGATTGTTTTTGTTACCAAGCAAACTTAATGTCGCGATCTGGAACAAAACCAATAGACTTAACAATGCTGGCGATAAATGTTGGTTCAAACTGGATTTCCCAAATAAAATCAATTTCTGTGAAGGTTTCCATCTTGTCATGCACTTCCTAACCAGAAATTTCTAAGATAGTGATTATTATGATATTATTATTTAATGAAGTGAAAAATAAGTATCAATCATTCTTCCGAAGCTGCTTGGTTGGAATCTGGCTTCTCTTTTTTGACACTGGAGACCCGGTCGACACCGCGTGGAAGAAAATCGCCACAGCTACGGCGAAGGATGAGCTGGGCACGCACGCTAAGGTGACGCCTTACGAGGACGCCGGGGAAGGGAAGACCCTGCACGGAACGCAGCACGCCATCAGCGTCTACACTGCGGACTTCAGCGACAAGGTTATTTTTATGAAGATTTGTAGCACTTTTACTTGGGTATATGCTTTGTCAATACATGGGTATGGTAGGGTTTTATGCTTTAGTTTTGGTTGTTTTGTGCATTTGTATGCCAGCGCTGTTCTTCTGCGAGAGTTCAATTTGAGGGATAATTAGTATGTTTAATATTGCGCTATGTTTCAGCTGTATTTTATATAAAACTTAGTTGCTACTCTTACTTTATTATTTTATTTACTGAGTTCCCTTTAATGATAAACTTTTTTTCTCCATGCGTTGTCCTTTTTTTGCCAATATCAGCATAGCTTGGTTGTTGTCTGGTGAAAAGATTCGGGCGGTGCTATCATAAAGGATTGCCCAGCAATGGGTAGAAACTGGCCCATTTTGTACATCATTCTGATTCCGTAGAATATAGTTTTGTGCGCTCTTGGACCAGCGTGATTAGGCTTGCCCTGCCTTGTTTTAACTATGATGGCCGATTGAAAAAAAATTATCTTTGAAATGACATGGTCACAGTTAATCAATAAATTGCTTTCCAAAATGTTCAGGGTCAGATTTTAGCCAGAATCTGAGTCTTACTTTTCCGGGTCGAAATGGAAACTTTTCTGTGTCAAAACGAAACTTCCATTGATCATTTGCGGGGCCATTTGACCAGGAATCAGTGGGGGGGGGGGAAAGTGGTGTAATGTTGACCCCCAAAATACCTTCTTAAGGGGCTCCACAGCAAGCTCGTCTCCCTTCAGCGGTCTGGCAACATCTCCCAGTCCTTGTACCGGCAGCCCATCCAGCTCCAAGTGCCCCAGGTTCTGACCAAGAAATACAGGGTGGTGCAAAAAGAAGGATACCCACTTTTGACGGCAATTTTCTAATATTTGTTGAGCATATTTCAAAATATTGATCTTTATAAACATAAGTGACGAAAAAATGCTTGCAAATCCATATTTTGTCTCTGAGATAATTTATGTTAGTTTAAACATTTCATGTGCCAAACCTGTTTGTCCACGGCCGGCTTTATTACATGACTGAGCTCCAGCAAGCTCGGATCCGGGGGGAGGAGCAACGGGGGCCTGCCCCCCCCCCCCGCCCCCCAAAACAAATCCGAACCCCGTTTTTTTTTTAAGTGACGTCGCAATAAAGGCGAGCACTACGTAAGCCACCATCTTTTCCTAAAATAAAATTGGTTAAAGTGGTCAAAAATTGCCTCAGATTGCACCACAGAGCATCTAGAGGAAAACAAAAACAAAATTGAACGGCGAGTCCCTCGCTGTAATTTTTGGGACCAACTTTTTGGGGAGCAATTTTTTTTGGCCCCCTCTCCAAAAAAATGTTCTGGATCCGCCCTTGAGCTCAGGAGTTTGAATTGAAGACAAAAACACTACACTAGACTTACACGTGGACAACAGTGATTTTGGTGCCTTTTAATCAATATTGACATAATAACACTATTCTTGCGATTTTTGTAAAGATTGTTTTTCACCACGTATGAATGCATGAAGAGCTTTACCTCAATACATTATAGAAAACAGTTCAAATAAGTTAAGTAAGTAGGTGAAGAGTTCTGTCAATATTGATTTCCTTCTTTTTGCACCACCCTGTATATATCATTTTGAACCTGAACGAAACTCATCAGGTCAAATGAATCCGGATTCCGGGTCATAACTGGCGCAGTACTTATCATAATGTATTATTTCTCTTATAATAAAGGAAGACGTAATGAGACTGGAAGGTATCCTGAGAGGGATGGGGATGAAGTGCCGTATGGCCTACAAGCCCAGTGTCTACTCCAAGCTGGGTCTGTACTCGCAGAACAAGTGGCGGCTGAGGCCCGGTATCTATTCATCTCAGTGGGATGCAATCAAGCGTGTTGGCAGCATCAGAGACAGCACCAAAGCCCGCGAAACTTTCTTCTTGAACTTTCAGTAGCGTGAATCGAGAGTGCGATTAGAGCAAGCCAGTTGGCTTTACAGAGCGAGCTTTGTCTTTCACTGCGCTGGTAGAATGTCGGATTTTGTAATGAGAGTATACCTTAAGCTCTTCTCATTTCGAAAAGAACAGGCCTTACGCTATATTCATTTATATAAAGATATACTATTAAGCCTATTATGCAAACAAACTGAACTAAATGCACGCTTACCTATAGGCTATGCGACTCCTCTTTAAAAAAAATCGTTCTGCCATTGTGATAAAGACAATTTTGAAATTTAGTTGAGTATCGTGCAAATAAATCAATTAAGAAATTTGCTTAGCAACAGTTATCAAATCAGCAATATTTCTCCAGAAGTACAGCTTCTTAAATTAAGAGAAATTCAATGTGTTGGAAACGATAGCCATTTCATAGTTTGTCGAATGTGTTGGAAACGATATCCAACTCCTAGTTTGTCGGATGAAGTGAACTACAAAGTCTGAAGTAAAGAAACCGCAGAATATTTTTTTCCTTCTAAAATATACGCAGAGTAATGTCTTTGACACATCGACTTTATATATGAAAGTTATTATCATTTATTGTATCAGCAGAAATTCAAAATATACCAGCTCAGTTAGGTGTCGCTTAATGTTTTTATTTTTTATTCCAACTAGAATATCAATAGATAAGTCGACTAACACAATATTGATAATATAACTAGACGGTAATGGTGTTTTTTTTTTAAGTTATTTTAGAATCGAGTCTTTAAAAAGAATGAGGTGTTTTTTTTTTATATAATGGATGCAATGGAGGATTGGTTTTATGAAGGCTTCCGTAATCCCCTTTAGAAAATCATGGATCTGCAACCGATGGTGTATTTTTTAAAATGAAAATGAAAGAAAGTGTAGTTAATATGTCGGTGATTAAAGGGCAGTGCAATTATTTTTTTTCAATGCAATCCTTGAAAATGCATTTTTGTGTCCCATTTAACCTTATTTTTAATTTCATTTTGCCCATTTTTTGGGGTGCTTTTGGGGTTGTTATGCTTATGCGAGTTTACACATTCAAAAATAAAAGTGTGATGTCATTTGACGCAGAAACCTAAATGTTTTAGATATGTCAACACCAAAATTGTGGATGTTTCGCAGTCGTAAGTTATCTTTTGTTGGTGGTTCATTGTTGTTTCAGTACAAGACAGTAAGCCAGGAGCAAACATTTCTCACAAAATGTTTTCAGTAAGCTATTTTTTCGGTGACAGTTGAATAGAAAACACAAAAACTGAGCGTGTCTTCCGAAAATGGCATCACATCAACAGCGCCCTCAGTTGCCAGGAAAAGCATGGGACATTTTAAATGTTTAAAGAAGGGCACCTTTCAAATAGATTTCATACATTTTAACCCTCATATGGAAACATGCATTGTCAGCCTTGTTATTGCTTGGTCAAGACCCCCATTGGTTTGTACACAGTATGCCAGGAGGTGAGGAAGAAAATGTTGACCATTGGTGACCTAAATAGTAGGAGGGTTAAAGGAGTAGAAAGTTGCACAAAATATATTCCCACGTAAAATTCATCCCATGTCCCTTTAATAGCTTCCTTTTATCACAAACCATACCCTGATATTTCGGCAAGGACCTGTTCACGTCATGGATGTTGAGATCGGTGGCGTAACCAACGCCGGTCGGGATGGACAACTTTATTATCAATGGATTATACGGAAGAAAAAAATCGAAGAAAAACAAAAATATCTAACATGCATATATTTTAATATCTAGATGTTTAAAGGGCTATGAATTAGAAATGGGATTTAAGAAATGCACCTTTGTTTATATCCTTTAAAGAGGACTTCAGGGTCGTTTTCATTCTTATTCTGATACAAATTTTATGTCATGGTTGAAGCCAAGTCGTCTCTTTGAATCAAAAACTCATCAGGTTTTTGTGTCTATTTTTGTGCTTCTGTACTCTCCAAAAGGCAACTCTCGCGTCACGAATGTTTAAGTTAATCACGCCTATAGTTCATACACCGCATAGTTTATACAATAATTCCTGAAGTGTACAAACAGCGAGCCCGTGTGCCTTGAAATATCGTGAATGATGAAAATAAATGCAGTTGTGTACGTGGTAGTCTTAACAATTGACCTAGATTGGTGCTTGTTGTCATACAATTCGGTTGTATGGGTGTTCACACTTGTTTTCCTATGTGAAATTTATTTCATGCCCCCTTTAAGTGATTGTGCACCCACTGATGTTGTGTGTATGCAATTGAGTACTACATTGAGTTACTCATATTTCGATCAAAATGATCCGGAAAATGAGTCAAAGAAGTGTCATTTTGACCCGGAAAGTGTCATTTTGACCCGGAAAAGTGTCGGGCAACAGTGGACCCGGATTCCGGGTCAAATCTGAACCGGGATATTTTAGAGTGTATCACTTTTTGACATTATTAAAGGAATCCATTGGTTCATCATTGACGTGTCTTCCTTTATACATCCCGCCTGTAGACGTCGCGGTCCTTGTATTCATTTGAAAACACACGACATTGCTCGGCGTCATAAGCTATCGCGTGTTAAACGATGGCAATGCAAACACTGAACACCCAGAAACGATTTATGGTTCTTATTACGGTTGATATCAATTAGGCACGCGGTCCCTTTGGGGCGCATTTGCTATATCTCACACGCGATGCAGTCTTGGCCTTGCCTGACAGACATGCATGCTGCTGTTCCTGCTGACTCGACCCCTTTTGTCTTTGGCAAGAACTCATAAGACACCTTGAGTTAAAGCTTTCTATCTTTACGGAGATAAGCCACCATGAGGCGACAAGATGACGCTGACAGTGTATTGCACCACAACGCCTCTCTAGCGTCAGTCTACATTGCATTCTTCCCTATCCACGCACACACACATGAAAAGAAATGCTATCTACTGAAGATAGCAGTAATCCAGGCATGTACGTGTACAACGTCCAGACGGCACGGTGGATACTTATCCGTCCCATGTGTCGGACTTCGCACTTCTTCTTTTTTTTCATTCCCTAGTTTCATTTCCTTTTTCAAGGGCAGCATAAAACCCGTAGTCATTAACCTCTTGACATTTCGCATCGTGGGCATTATTGGTGGGAAATTTAGTCGCCTATAATATACGGCTGATGCGTCCAATCTGAACATGCCTCCGTTCCGCGCAGCTCAGCTCACGGGGCCAGCCGTGTGCGGCTCAGATTTACCGTTCGTGCCAGCCAGACACGTAATTACTCGTCCTCACTTCTCCGCACGGTGACGTGAGCATCAGAGCAGATACAGGAGACAACCACGGTATGGGTCCTACAGGATGGAGGTGGCGCTCTAAACCCAACCGCTCTAATCAGAGCCACTTGATTTGCATACTTGGCTAATTAATTGTCTAGGGAGATATCCTTTTAGGATGTCACCTTGATGACTGGTGGTCGGCAAACATACACACACCACTGCGCATGACGACGGCGGTAATTATTATTCATCGTTATGTGTTGTTCATCATCATCATCACCATCATCATCATCATCGCGTGGATGGTAGGGTTCCGCGTGCGCGCGTGTTGTCGCTGGCTACTTGGCCCCAGGGGCGATTTATTTTGATCTGATTTAAAAAAGAAAAAACTCCCAACATACGCGAAGTGACATCGAGGAGTGAACTATCGGTGATGTAGCAGCCAGCAGGCCGTCATCAACTATGTCTTCACAGAGAAACCAAGGTGCCAAAAAAGCGGTAAGTAACCCTGTTATCACTTGGTGTTGTCTGTCATCATGTCCTACTCATGCCTTCACGGAGAAACGATATTGTATACCAAACACTCTGGATATCGTTATAAGAATAGAAGGTAACACACCTCACTGTTGGTAGAGTAAACACCGGCGGCGTTGACGACCGATGACCAGTGCATAAATGCCAGCCTGGGATAGAATTTCAATTTAATTTACCTCCATTGATGCCTGACCGCCACGCAGCATTACCTCTTCAAGACGCCACTCTGGGCTGGAGGAGGACGCAGCGCGGCATCCAGAGTCAGTCGCTGGCAGGACAGTACATTTACATTACTCCACAATGCCATGGAACATCCCCGTCATCTTCCGATGCACTGCATCACGCAATGTTAAAGATGGCGCTTTATACTCTGAGTCTGTTGACATGAGGAGAACAATTAACTAGATGTAACCCATTTTTTTGGTTCTTCACTTAAATAGTCTAATGATTTAGACAAGATGAAAAAAAATAATCACCGTACGTTCTGAACTGAACAAGACGAGGCGAGAATAGTAAAGATTGTCCAAATTCTACTTTAACACATTGATTTGATTCAGAATCGACATTCACATAAAGTGTGTGCATGTGGTCTACACGTGTTAACACGGGCAAAATGACACTACTGCCCGAATTGCAAATGACAGTCAGTCAGTCAGCGAGTGAGTGAGTCCGTGGAGTGAGACAGCGACATAGGTACGAAAACGAATCTAGGCTGGACCTGCGTGACCACCCAGAAAATGACAACACAATTCTTTCACTGCACATCTGACCGTGACGACACAATAATGACCAGGACAGTTGCTGAAACATACAAACACAAGGCAAGACAGACAAGGACATGGTCACAAACGCAAACTACGGAAACCTCAACAGCAGGAAAAACACGACGATGACAAATTAATGACCGATGCTATCAACAGCAACAATACCACCATCCAACAATGCAACGCAGGTGGTGCATCAGCGTTTCTCAATAGTATCGCAATTTGCTCAAGTCTCACACAGTATCCTGTGAAATGTCCCCTGGCAAAACTCTCTCCACTTGCGCTCTCTTCCTTCATCGATCTCTGCCGAGCCATTCAAAATGTCTGGATGGTCCTGGAATGGTACGTGAATGAGACGACAATGTATAAGGATACTCCGAGACGGAGCAATATAATAAAACGACAGCTCATAATATTATAATTATAAAGACATTTTCTGGTTTGGATCGACAGTTTTGTTTAATATTATTTTTACTATAATAGGGCGACACATCTCATTAGGGCGACAGTATATAGTACTGTCGCCCTATTCCTAAAACCGCCATTTTGACGTGGCTAGGGTTTAGGGTTAGGGTAAGGGCTAGGGTAAGTTTTGTGCTCAAGTCTATGGAAGTGTCGACCTGTTGTGGTTGCTTTTATAATTATTATTGTAATAATATTTTGTAATATTTGTTAAAAATTTACCCCTCTGACACAAATGCAGACACACATCCCGAAATATGTATCCTTGAGGAGACTTTGTTCTTTGACTTTGCTACGTTCTCGTGTACAAACAGGTAGAGGATCAAAAGCTATTTTCAAAATGCTCTTATTAGAACCAGAATTACTGTCCTGGGTCAAAATTACTTTCCTGGGTTGACCAAATGTCCCTTACAAAAATAAAGCCTTTAAATTGCGACGGATAAGTACACCTTGGAAATTACTAAAGTTTGAGCAAAATCCACATATCTATTTCGTGAAATCCTTGTGGAGATCTTTACACCTTTAGAAATGTCCTTGTGGAGACATTTACATCTTTTGTTCCGTATTATACCCAGATTTCTACTTAGTAGCAGTATATGTATAAAAAAAAAAAACTGTGTTTAGAGTTTAAACATATTTTATTAAACACCCAGTTGTACCCACTTTTTTTCACACATTGAATCTACGACATGTTTAGGTACACGACGAAAGCCTGTGAGTACCATCAAGCTTATACTGTAAAGTTGAATGAAAATGACGTATCGGGTCGATGTCAACTCACAGGCTAAATACACTTTTATCACTTTTTTTATCATCCACTGTCTCAGAAAAAAAAAGAAATTTAAAATATAAATTAGATTTTTCTTTCATAAGTTATTAAAGACTGCTCTAACAGGATCTCATAATGTGCAAACAAAAAACATGTCAAAGAAGTGGGTAAAAGGTGTTTTAAACTCTAAGCTTATAGCATGTTACAATTCACTGAGCAAACTGAATTTAATACAATTACATTTTGCAGACACTAAGGTAGGGAATGAATTTTAATTTTACTAGTAGAAAATACACGAAAGTCCATTAAATATTGTTTTTGGAACGTTTTGCCCGAATTAAGGGGATCGCAATGGTAAACAAAACAAAAAAGTTGAAGGATGAGATAGTTCAATCAAATGCTGCACATAATTCGGCGACATTTTACAGACATTTGTATTTGTTTAAGATTGATTTACTTACCTTGATTCAATGGCCGGTGTCATATATATTTCCAACAATAAGGCAGAGAAATTGTTGGAAAAGCGCTTCTTTGCAACTGATCTGGAAGCAGCTTTTGGTCTTTACGTATTTTTTAGCCAGACTGTCAACAAAAGACTGCCACCACATAAAATGTATCCAGTTCACTGTGAGATTCACTATGGGATGTCAGGTCCCACACTAGCTTCATGAAGAATTCAGAATTGCAAAAATACCGATCCTAAAGCGCACACGCGTTTGTTGAACGTTTTTGAAAAGAACAAAGTGTGAGTGGAAGGCCGACCTACGCTCCGAAGGCTCGATTGTGGCGGAACAGATTATTTATTACCCTGAAATTCCTTCGCGCAGTATTTACACGAAAACAGCAATTTTCCAAGCCCAAATGGGAGCTTGCTCTACTTGACATTTGACGTTAGTCATAACTCTAATGTCACATTTATTTCTCATTTTGTCTCTTTCAGATAGATGATCTTTCGGAAGCCCAAATTGCAGGTAAGGCTTGAAAAATTCGTTTTTGTCCATGTGGTTTTTTTGTGGCCATTTTCACACCAATGAACTCTCCATTTGATTATTTTTTTCCAATATATTTTACTGCTCTGTCTATTTGTTAACAATTGGGGACCATAAAATGAAATGCTTTTTTGCTCCAAACAGCATACAGCGTAGCGAGAATATATATTGTTTTTCTCGGGCGGGGGGGGGGGAGAGTTATCGTTTTCGGACCAGGTATTCGGAAAGCGGGTATGGGGGTCGGGGTTGGCAGGGCATCGTTCGACATTCTGCAGCGCTGCTCAATATAAACATAATGTTAAATGTGTGCACTGTTTAGCCGTGTTGCAGCATTTAGGTTCCGTCTGGGTTCTTTTACTGCTCAATATATATATCTCTGTTTTGTTTCCCTTCCACTTGTTCAGTCATGGGAGGATGTTTGAACATGCACCCACCCCGAATCTAAACCCTCATCTTCCCGTCGTTACGTCATTGGCCCCAAATATTACCCCCAAGAGCAAATTAAATCCCTTTCCGAAGTTGTTTTTGTTCAGACTGATTACTTTTCATCTAATGACTGGCTGGACAGCAAGTCAAGCTGTTTGGTACTATCGATATTGATGCATTGGTTCTACCTAGGAAAAGAATGAAGCTGATACATTTAGGGCAAATGGAATTTACGTTGAGCAATTCATCATTACGCTTTCAGCCGTCTACTTTTTTTTGCTAAATGTGGAAGTTTGTAAGAAATAGGATGCGTGTGGGAAAGCAGATTTTATCTACAAAAGTGCTAGTCCTTCACATTTTCTGTCATCCGTGAATTCTGAAGAGCTAAAATGTTTTATCCCCTTCCGATGGCAAAAAAAAAAAGCGGTGCTTGGAAAGCTTTCAATAAAATAGTCCCATATAAGTGCCTTTTTTGTTAATCGCGTTGCAGTCTTCCGATAATTGAACTATTGTAGGTGAAAATGAACATTTTGTTACCGCTTACCACTTTAGATATAGGTTTTCCCGGCCAATTTCCAAATTTTTCTGATCATTTTCATTATCAGTCATTCGATTTCGCGTGATTTCTGAACACCCTGATCAACGATTTTGCAAATGAGTTTTCTTTTTCATTGTTGAGGCATTCAATTTCAGTGTGAAGACACCCAAGATTTGGCTTCTAATTTTCGTTTTCGTGTTGGGGCATTCGATTTTGTTTTGGTGCATTCAAGACTTAATTTGTAGCATTCATAAATTAAGTTTTCGACATCTTTCGACGGTTGATGCATTCAAATTAGCAAACGTCGGCGCGCACAATGACGTATTGTTTTTCTTTTCTTATTCGTTTATCGGTAATCATTTTCATCGTTCGGTTATTCAAATTAATAAGACTTTATCAATTGATATATCATCCTATTTTACTCCAAGGTTCTCTTCTTTTCACAATCTTGGTGATTGTAAAATAGATAATGTAACATATTAAGTGGTATGAGGGATTAATGATGTAACTAAATAATGGAATGAAAAAGCGCTACGGAATTTTCTTTGCTCGCTGTTTGCTGCTTGTTCAACAGTTGGAACAAATCTATAAGGGGCAACTTTATGTTTGTATATTAATCCTTTAACTTTGTTAACTGTTCGTTTTCGTTCTGTATCTATAAGGTTTTCTTTTAATTCATTCCTGATTCACCCATCGATTTCTTGAAGAGCAAGAAATCGATGCATGTCTGTTTGCCAATGTTTGTACCATCAGGAGCACTTCTCTTGGTTTTTTCCTCAATTTGTTTCTTGGGCCACTTCAGACGATCACATCTCTACTCCTTTAGGTTCATTCATGCTTCAGGTTAGGAATAAGAGCTGTGCTCTACGGATTGAAGACGTCAGATATGCTTTATGCTGAGATATTTCAGAATTTTATAGTAATACGGACAAAGATGCTTGAAAAAAAATGTGAAATATGTTTGCCCATTAATGAAAATGAACGCCCGATCAACCGCTTACTGCTGGTTCAGACGAAATTCAATGATCTACACAATACTTTAATTTGAGTGAAACGAAAAGACGATAAAATGCTCGGGTAGTAAAATTGAACGATTCTTTGTGATTGTCGAATGACTGTCTGCGTCATTTTTCATTATTGCAATCTAATTTGAACCAGCCATGCGTTAAATCGAATGAAAAAAAATTGTGAAATTGCCGGGAAAATCTATAATACTATAAACCAGAACTCCTCTTGATAAACATGGTCACATATCACCTGTGAAACAGTTTGTAGCAAACAAATCGACACAAAAAACATTAATGTGAAACATTTCAATTGTTTTGACAAAAAGTCCGCATACACATAATTCAAGATTTTGCTGCCTCATTGAAGTGATTGGGCTAACTATTTTATGAGGCAATAAACAGAATTGCAGTCCAACGAGAGGTCGTTAACATGATTTATCTGTTTTCAATCCTACAACTAGACTTCATTTCGAATTAGCCATTACTCTTCCGTAGATTGATCATGTCTCTGAACATTTGAATTTCTTGCCAGAGATTGCAGAGTTAGATCTCGATTCACTGCAAGTGTTCTCGGTCATGGGAATAATAACCAGTGTTGTTGACTCGAGTCGCTGACTCGGACTCGAGTCGGACTCGAGTCGCATTTTTTTTTGACTTGAGACTTGACTTGACTTGGAAAAAAATGACTTGAGACTTGACTTGACTTGGTTAAATTTGACTTAAGACTTGACTTGACTTGGAAAAAAAATGACTTGGTTACAACCCTGATAACGCCCGGTATGCCCTATGGGGCTGAAACACGTTTTGCTCGAAATTTTAAGTATGAATCTCAGTTCGACCCAATAGTCAGACATAAGGGTTATTAAATTATGGTTTTTAATCGTGAAAAGTTTTTCACTTATAGTTCCAGCTTTTCTGTGGGAGAATAACTTACAACTTGGGGAAAATTCGAAGTTGGCTTTGGAGTAGTGCTCTTTGTATCAGACTGTAACACAATGCTCTGTTTATTAAGCGAATTTTCTGTGCAAATTGGACAACACAACTGTTGGTACAGGGTGTTGTGAATAAAGTTGTGCAAGCATAATCCTTTATTTCTCAAAAACTACTTAACATGAGTGTTTCGTCTTGATGGAGCAATATTTATTATTCTATTGTGTTTAATCAGTGAACATGCCATGGAAATCCATTCATGCAAACCAGAGATCTAACAGATTGTAAAAGGATATGGGGTTTTCACCCATTCTAATGAGATTTACACAGATAGGGATATCAGTACATCAGATTGTCATTGGCCTTTTCACTCTGATGTTAATAGAGTTAACTGTGTAAATCCATCCCATTGGAATGGGTGGAAAACCCATAGCCTTTTAAAACATGTAACATCTCTGGTTTGCATGAACGGATTTCCATGGCATTTTTTACTGAATATACACAAGAGTATTATGAGAAATGAAAGAACAGTTGCTCGCACAACTTTTTAGGGGACACCCTGTAGAGGTCGAACGGAAAGTTTGTGGGCACTGTTCTTCTCAGTGCATTTCAAATTGGGTGAGAGGGGGTAATAAACAAAAAGAAAACCTTTGGTTTTTCCTCGCACAAGACCGACAGAGGAGCGGATAGAAAAATACTGTTTTCGATTGGCCAAAAATAACATTCCCATTGCTGAAGTTGCTGGAAAATGTCATCAAATTATTCAATAAACGCTGTTAGTTAAGTTCCAAAGAAATTTCACATCAACGAAACAAATAATATTTTTTTTCTTGCATTTAGAACAAGTGATTCAACTTTAAAAAGAGAGCGATAAATGAGGTGATTCCCAACCGCCACATCATCTCCATTAAACCATACGTATATAGAAGATGTCAAACCTCCTCCCAATTAGATACAAACAAAATCGCGAATTCTTCCATCTTTTTTTCTCTTCAGTAATTTCTTATGAGGTTTCTAAATCGAAAGTAGAAAGAGAGCCGACATTTATATTTCGAGTAACAATCGGGTTGAGGATGTGTCTTTAACCCACCGAGCAAAGACTAATTTCGCCAACGTGCGAGAAACCTGAAACATTTTTCACACTCCCATTCTCACTTCGCCGAGCAGCTTTTAGTATTTCGAGTGTAGTAGTATACCAGATGGCCATTCTATGTCAAATATTCCTTTTTGAAAGGTGAAAACAAAATTAAAGAAAAAGTTGAGTCTCAGGCCTGTGTTGGAAATTACTGTTTTCGTTGGGAAACTTTATAATGCCACGTGAACCTCTTTGAGAAGACAGCCAGTCGTCCTGGAGCTTCCTTTGTCTTCCAAATATCCCTTTAAGAGATTGCCTCGTAAGAAGTCACATAATTAACATTTTCTGTCTGATTCTGTTATGCAAGCATGGCTAGAAATTACGCGCACTACAATAGAGTGACTCATCATGTTATTCCCCACAGACGTCCATGGAAGAAGCGCCAGCAAAATCAAATCAAAACATGAGTAGAGAATCATGTTTACCAAACTCGATTGGAAAGTTGAAATTAACTGTCTCCCAACTGAAGGGTAGCGTTGTCCTGTTTCACTTGCACTCGTGTTTCCGAGCAATTTTAATTATTTCGCAAGCCACAAATCAGGGTAATTTTGGAATGCCAACCGTGCACCACTTGGTCTCTCTTCTCAAACAAGACAGCTTTTGTTCCCATCGAGCGAAATCCATAGACATTTTCCAGGTGACAGCTGTCATCAATTAGTCTTCTTCTACATACCCCCGATCCGCGCGTATCGATTGCAATTAATACCCTGACGTCATCAGTTATGGAAGTCTCTCCGGCCGCCGCCAATTTCTCTCTACCGGAGGGGCCCCGGGATTTTGCCGCGGTTTCGGGAAATCAACTTTTACCGGTGGGGTCTACGTGTAATTTAAATGCACGATGAGCTCAACGCCGCGATTCGTTACAGATTACATCAGATATGGACGCGGGGGAGGCATCGTCCACAAGATATACTACAAAAAACTTCACCTAAATAAACTGCGTAGC